TTTAATTTATTTTTTATAATTAAAATAAAATAATAAAACTAGTGTTTAATTAATACTTGAGGTAGTATTTTATATTGTATATTGATTGATTGATTGATTGGTTAATTTGTTGATTTATAGATAGGTAGATAAATATAAATATAGATGGATATGGATATATATGTATATAGATTTATCCTCTTAATATTTTGAAAATTTTATATTAGTTACCATCATTTTTATATAAAATAAAAAAGACTATAAATTGAGAATTTTTACACACTTATAATATATATACACTTAGAAACAAATTAGGGATTGTTCTTAAAAATAAAATAAATACTTTTTGGTACTTGCCATTTGCTTTTAAGTTGTTTATTGACTATTTATTTTGTTGCCTTTTTAGGTCTAAAGTTTTGCTCCATATATATCTTGCACCTAAGTTTTGACAATAGCATAGCATGATATTTATACTTCATTAATTATGGTGTCTCTCCCTCCTCGTGAATCTTTAAAGTTAAGGAATATGATAAAAAAATCAACATAAAATTTGTGATAAGAAAAATAATATTAATTAGGCATCTCAAGTATATATTAAAACCAAATAAAGTTATAATTATAAGTGATATAGATGTACCCAAATTAAATGTTAGTTTATTGATTTAATTTAAATGAGTAACCTGAGTGAGAGTTTTTATAAGTTAAAAAACCCCATCAACTAAGACACTTGCTTTTGGGGTTTAGCAATTTAGTTTAATAGTCTTTTATAAGTTTAAAGAAAGAAACTTAAGAATTTTAATTATTATAATACTTCATTTGGATTTAACATTAAAATTTAAATATAATAAAAATAAATAATATTTTAATAAATAATTGTTGAATATGAAAAATTTTATATAGACATTAAAGTTTAATTAGGTTTTTACATGAAAGAGAAAACAAAAAGGCACAACTCTTTTTCTTATTTAATATGCATGTAATGAAAAATAATAATAACAATGCATATTACTCCTTTTTAATACATCTTTTTCTTTTTCTTAAGCAATTGTTAAATATAATACTATATATTATACTATATATATAAATGCATATTATATTTAATGTATAGAGTAATATTTTATATATATAATATTTTTTATATAATTATTTATTATATTTTTATATTATATTTTATAATTTTTATTTCTTAATAAATTAAAAAATATAATAATTAATTAAAATTAAAAAAAATATGACATTAATAATTTAAGATTTGACATTAACATCACTCCTCAGTCAAGATTTATGGGGAGACTGGTGTTTTCTCTTTTTTCATCGGTGAAAAATTAGGAAATCTGAGGAGATATTTACAACAATACTACAATGACAACTTGGAAGTTAATGTCATTGGTTTGGTGGGCTAATGCCGCAAGTCCTTCGGGAGAGACCGGTGTTGGAGCTGCTCAAAACCCAGAAGTCTACTGCCTTCCTTTCAATTGTGATAATGATATGGCTATCATGTCGTGGACACCGTAAATTTACCGTTAAGATATATTATTAAATAAATCAAATTACATATGAGTTTTAGTTTATATATATTTTTATAAAGTGTACCTTCACTCTTGGATTGAAATTCAAATCTCTATATCTAGTGAGATAATTTTAAGTTTTTTTTTTTATTTTTTAATCAAACTAATAAATACTAATCTCATATAATTATAATTATAAAA